GATTGTTTCTTTGGTTTGCAGTAAACAATGATATAACAGTGTTAATATTGGTTACTAATTTTATAAGTATGTTAACACTACATATGATGACTATAATTAAATATTTTTTTCTGCATATGATTAAATTGTGTTTCAGTTGTGACAATGATTTTTAAAATTTCGCTGTGTCTAGTTCTGCTGACATGTTACCTGATTAGCCTCAGGAACCTAAAAGGCTATGTATGGTGTTCGTTGACTGGTGGAATTCCTTTACTAGAACCCTGTGTTGGCTACCATCAGAATAAGTCGATTTACGATTCTAACAGTCAATGCAGGTTACCATTTCTTCGCGGATCCCACTTTGCCATCATCGGTATACACAGTAGTAAATAACCGCTGGTAAATGCGTAATGATCGTATGTTAGTGAATTCGGCACCAAGACGTCTATGTCGTGTTGGAGGAGTCTGCATTGTTAATTAGTCCTAATAAATGACTGTCATTTATCGGAAGAATTGTGTCGAAAGATGAAGGTCGTTATTGTACGAAAAGGAGGGGATCAAGAACGGTGCCTTGCGGGACGCCAGAAATGATAAGGACAAAGTCAGAATATGCGCTGTCCACCTGGACACATTGGTTACTACTCGTCATAAAAGCAGTGATCCAATGAAGAGGTGGACCTGTGATCCGGAAATACCGCAATTTAAGTCAGTCTTCTGTGAGGGACTTTGTCGAAGGCTTTGACAAAGTTGCTCAGTATGGCATCAACTTGTTTCAAATCACATCTGTCAAGTCAGACAATGTCATGATGGGTTGTGATTTGGCAGGAACCATGATGTGTTTGTGTGTTGTGTTTAAAAAAAATCTGCAAACGTATAATATATATAATATATATATATATATATATATGTATGTATATATAAAGGTTTATATAGAGAGAAATGTGTATATATACATATATATATAGAAATAAGATGTAAACATATATGTGTTTGTGTATATATATGTATATTATATGTAAATGTATATATATATATATATATAATATATATATATATATATATATTATCATTATCATCATCAGGGAGCTAACGCCGACGGGGGCGCAGTCACCACATCCACCTTTCATGGCAAGCTGCCAGGCAGGGACTTGGCCCATCTCGAGCTCCTCACGACAGGTTTGATCGATCTGCTCAAGCCACGATTTCCTAGGTCGTCCCACAGGCCTCCACCCGGGGTTGTCTCATACAGAAACAACTTGGTGGGCAGGATCGTCAGATTGCACCAGCCTCTGGTTCCTTAGTAGGTGGTCTATGATACGTCTCAGAAGGGTATGGTCGAGAACCTTCCTTGGTATAGGTACCTCTTGTCACATATGCCCCGACGAAGCAATAACGAAAAGGCCTTCGGCATATTCGTATGTCTTCTTGCTCTTCCCTTCGTTGTTCCTGTTACAACACACACACATGAAGAAGGAAAGAGAGAGTGGAGATAGAGGAGAGAGGTTAATAGATAGAGAGAATGGAGTGGGGAGAAAATCTCGTATATAGTCAAGTAATAATCTTAATACATTTGGTACAAAGCCTCACTTGCAATAATATTTTCACTGATGATTTTAACGTGGTCGTCTCTGTCGGCTCGGGTCCTCGTGGGTCGTGGGTGCCGAGGGCGTGCAGCAACTCATGGATAGGCTTCCCGACGGAACCGAGGCATCGTTTTGAGCGGCTGTCGGGCCGCTGCAGGGAGAGTACCTGTTGTCCGCCCGTCTTGCCCACATAGGACCAGCATCTGTGCGAGGCCCGAGAGAAGACGATGAAGGAAAATCCGGCTTAACATTACCTAACCTTAAGGGTTAACTTTCGTTCAGTGTTTATTCTCGGTTTGAAATCAGAATTTGATACATAAGGCATGTCAGAAAGGATGAATTCAAATACAAAGTGTACCACTAACATCATAAAGAAATTAAAGTCGTTTTTGGTAGAAGTGAAAGTTCGACGCGTTTTGAGATTGGATGCCGACGCTGATTGGTTTCTGAATGCACTGCTAGGCATAGGGTGAGTTAGGGAAAAACTATCGAACACTTCATTTCACATAGTACGCTTAAGTATCAACAATAACTTAAAAGTACTAGTGACCGCTCAAGACTTGCCCAGAAACTCTCTATTTCGTCTCCCCTTCTCTCTCTTTGCCCCCTCTCTCTCTCTCCTCTCTCTAATTGTCCCCCCCTCTCTCTCTCTCTCTCTCTCTCTCTATTCCCCCTCTCTCTCTATCTCTCTCTATTGCCCCCCCCCTCTCTCTTTTGCCCTCTCACTCTCTCTCTGAGATTGGTCAGATGCCCCTGAAGGTCATCTCTCTACCTACACCATACACCAAGTGAGGGGACAAGAAGTAGACTCTCTCTTGTCTTCCCCCCCCTCTCTCTCTCGTCTCTCTCTCTGTTCCCCCCTCCCTTCCCCCACCCTCTCTCTATTTCCCCTTTCCCTTCCCCCCACCCCTCTCTCTCTCTCTCTCTCTCTCTCTCTCTCCATTTCCCCCTCCCTTCCCTCCACCCACCCTCTCTCTGTATTTACCTTTCCCTCCCCCCTTCTCTCTCTCATCATCTCTTTTCCTCTATTTCCCTCTCTCTTCCCCTTCTCTCTCTTATAATATTATTAGGCATGTTCGATGCCCTGGATACTCCAATTTCGTAAGTCCAACTTTAAATGAAGGGCAAAAACTCCCTAAATTATGATTGGCTTCAATGTGTAGAACACTGATGCTTTCTACATCCCGGAAGCAACAGGTCCTAAATCCATGATTTCAATAACAAGGCCATTATGTTAAAAGGCTATTACCTGAAATATATAACTGGAATTCTCCATCCACCTCATGGTACCCACCCTCACTTGCAATCTACTGTGATGCTTCTACTGATCCCCAAAGAGTAGCGGCGATTAGTGTATTAATTCCTGACATTGCTCCTAAAGAAAGTGTGGAAATTTCCAACTGGACAAGCACAACTGATGCCGAGTCAGCAGCCATATATCATGCCATTAAAAAGGATAATGGACGGCAGCGACATCGTGCTATCTGTCAGGGTGCACTCTATAAACTTTCTGCATTTAGTCCAGGAAACATGGTAACTAGGAATAACCTACACCAAATTTCTAGCCTATCGGAACAGGGTATACAAGTTTCATACTGGATACCCTTTCATATAGAAATACCAAGCTGTGACAAGTTGGATCGGTTAGCAAAACAAGCACTTTCCTACGAAGAACCATACTATGCAGTACCATTCATTATCTCTTAAACACATGAAAAAACGTGTTTTCAACTGTCCTAGAGATTATAAGGGCCAAGTATAAACCACTGAAAACTGAAGAAAATGGACATGGTACCATTTGGCATTATGAAAGTATTGTAGGGACAGCAGATTACATTAGGCTACGCATAGGATATCAGTGCTCAATACATTATGTTCAGGATGCAGCTTTGGTGATAAAGCCAATTACGTAGCACCCCTGAAAAATGTTCAAGGCGCCCAAGTCGCATAATCTTAAACATCAATTACTTTGTTGCTCAAAACCTGCAACCTATTGATTATAATGTATATATTTTGTTATAGACTATGGTTTTTGATATGGTTAAATGATATGTGTGAATAATATAAGCACAATGATACAGCCCTTCAGGCATGTATAACTAATGTTTGATTGACAGCCCTCAAAATAAATAGAAGCACAGCCAGTTTAAATAGATGATGTAGCATCTTACCCTGGCCTTTNNNCTCATGGCGCTTGATTCGCAGGATATCGATACAACACGGGCATACGGAGAAGACCATGTCAGCGAAGGGACAGGAATTTGGAGTCCTGTGTGGAAGCATAAATGGAGCTTTGTGGGAAGTGTTTAGGAATACTGTAGCTCAATTAACTTCGAAAATAGAGGCGACATAGTCCTCGTAGGATCCTTAAGTCATTATTGAATTAAAGGATCTAATCCTGTTCCTCGTTTGTGATTTTAAGTACCTTTTTTGTTTACTTCTGGCAACTAGAATCTGTGTTAAAGTAGCGTTGGACGCCCTTCGTAAAATACATGATCAAGTGAAGGCAACAGTATCGGAATTTTGTTATCTTCACCGAGTGAATTTTGAGTTTACACAATATAAGACACATCTAGCATGAAAAACTCTCGTCAAATAATAGAAAGTTCAATATTTAGCAGAGCTGGAGGACAGGTGTTTTGCAGCGGTTGAAGTAATGGGTCGTAAAACACATTTCAACTTGAGACCTGCTGAGGTTGTGCAGGTGTTAATTATACAGTAACTGAAACTCTCAGCCAAAAATAATTGAAGGCGCCAAAAAGTATATTCTTTTAATAACTTAAATTGCCAGATTGATTACTGTAGTTACTGATTCTGATAAAAACAGATAAAGACATTCACACGAAAGAAAACCTTAACCTCATAGCAAGGGTGACTAAAGCAAACACGTAAAACGAAACGTTATTGACAGGTGGAGATGAAAGGGAAGAACATGTGTTGGCAATGATGGAGCGAAGATGTTAGAGAGGTAATTGAAGAATCATTCAAGTAAATGTATGATGTGAACCTTAAATGACGAGGCATGTGTCGTACCAGTAATTTAGATTACCACATACATATATACATATAATATATATATATATATATATATATATATATATATATATATATAATATATATATATATATATATATATATCGCCACATGATTCGACGAGAGAGAATTCGACTTGCAGGTGGTTATCATAGATTGACTGAAAGTGTGTAATATATGTATGATTTATACATATACATATATATTGCATATGTATACATATATATATATATATACGTATATATATATATATATATATATATATATATATATATATATATATATATATAAATATATAAGAAATACCGACGACGTGCCGATAATGACGACAACTCCGAAAAAATACAAGAAATGGTCTCCACGAGAAGACATATAGGACTATCAGACAATGTTACGTCATCGCTATACATCAGATCCCTGTAATAATTAAAATAAGAATTCTCTTTATGTATATATAATGAACTTACTTAATTAACTAAAAGACTACAGCAGTTACACGGAATAGGTTGTAGAAAGTTTTTTTCCGTATTTTTCAGTACTTAAAAGTAAATAATAACGACAAGAAAATAAATGTTAAAGAGGAAACAATTCATATGAAATATACACTGAATCCCAATGAACCTTCTTTCATCATGTAGGCCAGGGAGCCAACCGGTCGATCACAGGCGTTTTATGTCGATCACACTGCTGTTCCTGTTCATAATTCGTCCTTCAGAAGTTGTCATGCAAATAGCTGCAATAGCATATCCAAGGACTCATGATACTTGGATTATTATATTTCTTTTCTGGGAATAAGATATATTTATGTTCATAATGATGGATATGTTTGAACAACATACAGTTATATATAAAGACACTACTCCTGTGTTATATATATACATCCACACACACACACACACACACACACAACACAACACACACACAACACACACACACATAATATATATATATATATATATATATATATTATATATATATATATATATCCAAGGTGGCCAACCAGTCGATCACAAGCCTGTTTTAAGGCTGGTAGATCGCATCAGGGTAAAGGAAGAAAAAGTATATCATATCTCACAAAAGGTTGGCCACCCTGATATAGGCTGTAATTACTCGAGCCAGACGGAAGATAATTGTATCGTAATATATTTCCTCTTGGAACCTAGATCAACATGACTTTGATAACCATAAAAAGTTGTGCCAGTCGAGCAGTCTTCATATACAATAGATATTAATAAAGATAATTCATCTAATTCAACAACGTTATACGCGAATATTCTCCTTACCTAAACACAGCTGACGTTTCGGCATTGAACCATCATCGGCGCCATATAACTCCCTAGCGGTTATAACAACGAAATGTGAATTCCTTGTCTGGCTCTGAATTATTTACTCTCAATCCGGCCGCTTCTGGACAAGAGGAGCTGCGGTGGACGAGAGCAACAGGTCGGTAATCCGGAACTTAAATGCAGCCGTGTTGAGGGACTTCGTTTTGCCGGCATATGCTTTCCGTTTCAAGTAATTTGCTATATGTAATATATATATATATATATATATATATAATATATATATATATATATATATAATAGAGTGTGTGTGTGTGTGAGTGTGTGTGTGTGTGTGTGTGTGAGAGAGTGAGATGTGTGTTTGTGTGTTTGTATTTATGTCTATGTGTATATATGTGTGACGTGTGTGTGTGTGTGCGAATTTTTATCCAGGGAGCTCCACCCCGATCCCTACAGCCAGCACAACTGTTCGGCAGAAGCAAAATCGTTCCATTGCTGAAACTGCCAGAAAAGAGCGAGCATCGGAGCCTTGACTTGGCGCAGACCATCAGCCATTGCTCAGCGGCCCGTGCAGGCGAAGGCCTCCGCCTGCTGTTTGGAAGGGCGTCCGCTTATACAAGGACTACTACATACATATTGACAATGTATATATATATATATATATTATATATATATATATATATATATATATATATATATGTATATATATATATATATATATATATATATATATTATATATATGT